TTTAAGTCACACATCAGCAAAGATTTACCAATGACCAGGTGTTAATTTCTGACTCTGGTTCTGCCCTGCTCACTGATGTGTTATGCTTAATAGTGTTCTAATTTTAGGCAAACCTTCAGAGGGAAGCACCAATTACAAAAAGAACAGAGAAGCACCTCAGTGAAGGTTTTCAGTGAGCAATTAAACTGTCTGTTAATTAGCTGGCAGTCCTAGATTAAACATCCATCAGCCTGTGAGGTAAGTAAGAGCACAGCCCAAGATCCATTTTCTTTTGGGCTTTACAGGACTCTGCACCTTTGGAAGTTTTGGCTTCCTCTGTGTTTCACCCAGTTATGGGTGGCTGGCAGAAGTGGGCAATGGGGCCCCCTTGCAAATCAAAATTCGGAGACTGGAGAAAGAGAACTCCCAGTTCCACCTGTGATGTAACTGATTTTGATTAATTGATGTGTTGTGTTGAAGTTGTGTTTATCCTATGAGTTCACTGAGGTGCCTGGAGCAGCTCCTTACCCGGCACAGGGACGAGATCTTCTCGTCAGCATCAGCCATGGGGTGCTCGGTGAAGGTCACGTAGGGGATGTTGGTGGACCAGGGGTTCCACCTGTTGATGAAGGAGGCTCGGCTTTGCTTGTCCCACTGGATGCGGATACCGACGCCTTCCCTCCTGCCAGTGCACAATGAACGGGGTAAAACTTGGCTTTGAGCGAGGTTAACTAAAAATGGTCTGTCTGAAAAAGACCTGCTTGGAACCAGAAGCTATCTTGAAATACAAGTGATAGTAAATTTTACTGAAGGAAAGAAATGCAGTAATTCAGGCCCTGGAACGTGCAAAGGGCCATTCTTATGAGCTGAGAGCAAGAAGGGGAAGCACCTGGGATGCCCTGGCCATCCTTCACAGCCTATGACTGCCCCTGTGTCCTGCCACTGACAGCTTTCTACTCATGCTGAGGTTATTACTACTTACTGCATTATGTAATGGTGATGAGTTTCTGCTCCCAAATCTACTCCTCATATCTTGAAAGGCCTTGAGCAACTTGCTGTTAGTGCAACTACTCACCACCCCAGCAAAACAGCAGCTACCCTGAGGAGTTGTAGTAAAGTTCAGGAGTTGTTTGCAAAGTTAAGCAAACAAAAGGAAGAATTCTCACACCATTCCTGTGGTCAGACTGTCAGCTCAATCTGTTCCCAGTAACCTGTGCCTGTGGCTGCTTACTTGTTGAGAGATTTGGGTGGGAACACAAACTCCCCCACAGAGATGGTGTCCACAGCACTGAGGGCAATCCTGGTGACGTGCTGGCACTGCAGGCTGATGAAGTTGTACTTGCAGACCAGGAGGGACCAGTCTGTGATGAGGACAAGGCGCTCCTTCTCGTTGTTCCAGTGATCGATTCTGGGGAGAGAGCACCGCTGAGTCTAAGTGGTTTTGACTCATGGCTAGGAACACTCCAGAGCTTGGCAGAAAGGAGAATTGCTGAGGAGAACAAATCTGAAGTCTTGGTGACGCTGTATTTTCTGTCACTTTGCTTTGTATCTGCAGGGCTGATGCTCTGTGCCCTGCTGCACACACGGGGCTTTGGCTCGGTTTGTTGAAGCTGTGCCTGTGCTTCACTGCAGGAGTGGGACTGGATGTCATAACGGGTTAACTGGGGTGTGTTGGTCGCGATCTGGAGGGCCGGGTTATAAAGAAATAATGAAATAATGATGGCTGCAGCCAGCCTGGACCATGGAATAATGTTCAGCAGGTTTAATACCGAATAGCGCTGTGGGCTGTGCGGCTCCGGACCAACCCCGAGGCTGCCCTGGCTCTCACCTCCCCATCCCAATCCCATCC